GTGCTCCACCAACAGGGGTTCTGCTTAGGTGTTGAATGGAACCAACCTTCCAGAGCCATCAAACCCAAAGGTAGTTGAGAAGGGGTCACTCTTCTCCAATCATGACTGGAACATGTTCAGTGCAAAAGCTAGAAGGGCAGGGAGCGAAACATATTCACATGCCAGTAAGCAATATGAGACAAAGTGACTGACTGTAAGCCTTTCAAGCATTCCTTCGTGAACCCGGCAATGGAGGGTGCACGGTCATTCCCTTACTTTCCTTCACTTCAACATGACCCATGCCGGCAAGACGTGGAAACTGGCAATAGTCCAACCTGAGGGCCGCTTCAAGCCCCCTGTGTGGCTACGGGGCGCTCAAACATCGCTTGACCGCAATTCGGCTAGTTTCAGTTCGGGCGTTCAGAACCCCAAAACACAGACCCTCCAATGGACAACCCAAACATGTGTTGGGGACGCACACGCAATCGAGCCTCAGGCAAGAACCAAGAAAGTTTCTTTTCATGTGGAAAGGAAAACTGCCCAAAACGGAAACCATCTGACAATTCTATCAGAAAACGGCAACAACCCCCAACCCCACCTTTGTGAGTGGGCCCCCCAACAAATTGGACAACCCACTGGTCAGAAAAGAAACCCGCCCGCGCAAGCGAATGTGCGAAACCCGCCTCAAGGAAGCGATCCAAGGCCGGCGACGCTGTGTGACTTTTGCCTCAATGGAATGGGACTTCTCCCCGTTCGATGGTTACCCGGGCTTGGAACATTTGGAGGGAATCGCAAATGGTGTTCCTTTGGTTTCAACCAAGAGAAACTTCAAAGGGTGCCCTCGGAGCAGACACACATTGCATAGGGGCGGGGAGAGGCCATTCACCTTTGGCTCACTCAAACCTTCCTACATTTCCCCTTCAAACATTCCAAAGCAAACAGACAGCACATCTGAAATTGGCAACCAAACGGTGACGCTTAAAGCGAACCCCGTCACTTGCTAGGCTCTGGAACTGCGAGGTACCCCACTGACTGGATTCAAGTCCGAAAGGTGAAGCAGGGTCTGCGGAGTGTCTATGGGGGTTCCTAGGGTTTTGGGACCCCTTGAATTGAAACGTGGGGATTTCGCAAAATTGATGTACTGGATTGAATTTAAACCACCAGAGGGAACATTTGCAGGATGTCGTCGCTTGAATGAAACCAAGAAAAGGCACAGCCGCATGATGTGACATGTTGTATGATTGTCCAATCAAAAGCCATTTCGAACGATAAGGAAACCCGCAACGCATGTTTATCCGATTGAAAGCGCTGGATTGAATCCTTAAAAAAGAAAGGTTGCTTTGTTCACGATCCGCTTCCCGAAGAATCATAAGTTTTGCCTGGCAGGGCATCTGCCACTTGAGAACCTGAACGAGTTCTTCGCGCCAGTAGTTTAGGCGATCCACCGAAGCTAAGCTGTTACTTTGTGGCCCAGGCGTGGTAACTCCGGGCCAATTCCAGGACTACTCTCCAGTCCGCTTGGTCTGATCTTGGATTTGTCTGCTTTGAGGGTACCCTTCTTGGGCTCCAACAACAAGGGCCTCACCAAAGACACCTCCGAATCCGCTGGCGGGGAATTTTTTGCCTGGCCCAACCAAGCTGAGCCGAGCGGCTGATCTTCGCCTCGCGCTGGCCGGGAGACCGACCTAAGCCGACGAGAAAAAAAACCATGAAACCGCAGACATGTCGGCGTCTTTCTTTGGGTGGCTCAGAATCCAAGGGTTGACCCCAGCATTTCGTCTTCGGTTCAATTTTGCCAAGCTGCCATGTTGGTACATTTATGTGAGCCACAGCCAGTGGTTGTTTGTATCTTGCAAATTCACGAGACTCACCTATCCATCCATTTGTAAACAAACCTTCATGGGTAAAACTGACTAACCGCCCTAACCATCGACTAGCCACCCACTGATCACCCAGTAGACTTGAACCACCCGCTACCCTCCCGCTTGGCCCCCACTAGCCACCCACATTCACTTTCCACACACCGAAGCCATCCAGAATACAAAAAAACAAAAAGCAAAAAAGCACAAACCGGCCCCAGCGCGTCGGCTTGGGGCTGATATATATATATATATATATGTATATCAGATCTCGTAGCCGAGTGGCTGCTGCTCTTCTCGGCAGCGTCCAACTGACCTTCGTTCAAGCGGTCGCCCGCAAAGAAGGGTGGGATAAACGGTCCAGTCCATTCGGGTATTCGTATTCCACAAAGCAACCATGAACCGCAAATCTCAGCGAGTTGTATTCACCAATCCATTCACTTGGCCCGCATAGCACCGGAAGTGAGGTGGGGATGTCTGCAGCGCGCAAATCACACCACTTCACCTTGTAAAGCACGACTTGCTTCTGCCCACAAGCACCCATGGGATGGGCCCACATGCAAGCAAGACAACGCACACAAAAAACAACATAACAAGCGCCCAGGCAAAACCGAAGGTCCAAGCCACTTAAAATGTAGACCCTCTCTTTTGCATGGAACTCAGTTTTCGAGCGGCTTGGATGCAGCTGCAGGGAACCACCGGGCAGCTTGCATATCCAGTCTTCAAGAGCTAGACCTCTGAGACGAGCTGCCACTCAACCTCTTGGCAGAGTCCAGTCGGCTCAGCTTGAACTCAACTTAAGCGACACACGCAAAACGTTGTGTCGAAAACCACAGGGCAATATATGAGGACCCCTTACAAGAGACTTTTTGGAACCCACATGGCGCAGGTGTGCAACATCACCACGCTTCTAAAAGATGCACCAACAACCAGCCAAGCCATACCTGGACCACCCAAATCGGCAGAAGTTTCCGCCTTTTTGCGGTTGGCGGCGTTTTTAGTTTCCCTGGCAGCGTTCTGTGCAAAACAGGCAGCAGGAAATCGGCGGAATTCGGCGGGAAATCGGCGGAATTCGGCGGGAAATCGGCGGAATTTCGCGGAAGCAGGTTTCAGCATGTCGGAGTGTTTGTTGCGTTTCGGCGTTTTTTTCTCGCGGGCTGCGTTTTTTGGCTTTTCGGCGGAAATTTCTGCCGCCGGGGCCTTTCGGCAGAAAGTTCTGCCGCCGGCACGGTCCAAACGACTTGTTTCCTAAAAAGGCTTCCGGTACCCCGAGTGCTTTGAGAAATTTCGAGCTCCTGGGCAAACACTGAGCCCGTGGCTGCTCAGGCTTCTCGTCTTGCCGCTGAAAGTGCTCGTCTGCGTCACAATGCCCTCTTTGCTCTCCTTTCTGCTCGATGGGCTTCCTGATCGTCTGACGGAAAACACTGAGTCAGAGAAAACTACCCCGTGAGTACGGGAGAATGATGTTTGTCCATTTGGCGCCGGATGCTACCCAGCTCCGATTTTGGTGTTCTTTGTAATTTTGGGAACATTAGCAAAGCATTTGCCATAGCTCGGGTCCCTTCCCACAAGTCCTATGTCAGATACGGCAATGCAACGATATATTTGCGTCTTGGAGGATCCTATGGGGAAGCTCCGTAGTGCAAAGTTCAGCGCAAGCAAATAATATCCCCCCTCAAAAAAACAAGGGGCCCGCAAACATAAATTATCATACACTCACACATGCATGTATATATGTATATGATTTCTGTATGTATACAAATATACACCTGAAAGGGACGTCGTGGGCGGGTTGTTGCATCGACCTTTGTTTGCAGGGGATTCCCTGGCTTGCTGAAATGGACATGTGCATCAGCCTAGAAAACACATGAGGGTTTCTCATTCTCACAATGAGGGGCCTGCTTGTGGTATGGCTAGGCAATGAAATAACATCGAGGTAGGGGTCCTAAAATTCGCGCAGGTTCCCTGCAAGCCTCAAAGAGCTGGGCTTCTCAGACTGACTCAGCAGGGCGAACATGGCGCACACACCCGGTGCAGCTTGCTATGTCTCTCTTGAGCCAGAAGCTTCTGGTTCCAACCTCAGCTGTGGCGAAATGAATCGAATGAGAGGCTGGGGCAAAATAAAAACACAATACAAATCAAGCTTCCGTAGAAGATGGGGGGGTGGTACCAGAGCCATGACCTTGGCTTTATGGGGGTGCACCCAGGTCATGGGAAAACCTTGTTCCGCCCTTTGCCCCCTTTCACCTTCTGGTGCTCCGGGTCTACAACACAAGTTGCCTTGGCATGAGCAACGTGTGGCCAATGCTCGAAAGAGCAGCACGAACGCAGTTGGACACACAATTGAATGGTATGCACATGTCCTATGGAATTGGGCCTCAAGTTCCGCTTCCCGGCCTAAACTTCACAATATGGCTGTGGTTGTCAAAACCAATGGGATTCCATGTTGGGGTGGGTGCACCACCCATTTTGGAACCTATTTCAGTGGGGATTGGGATGTTCACTGGGGGTACGGAATTTTGACCCATGGCCATATGTTTATCAAAGATGTGATGTGACAGGTGCTTGCCCAGCCAGGTGCTTCAAAAGGGCATCCTTCACAATGCATCGTTGCAGCCATGAAGGCAAAACTTCATGTTGCGGCTGGCCAAAAGTAACATAACAAAGCCCTTGACAATGGAAGTTTTTGTGATTGCCTCCATTCCGAATTATTCCCACAACTGCTTCCAGCTGCAAAATTACCAGGTTTCTTACCTCTACTTGTAGGACGGTTGCCCCTGGTTACCTATGTATAGTGTAACTGGAACGACTGGAAGCACTGGGCCCAACAAGTTGAGCACAGCATACTGCTCCCCCAACGGCTGCCGAATGCCCCCCCAATCGAAAAATACGCATGAGATCGAACTTGACAATGGGCCCACGGCTCCCCGACACTTCTCGGATCTCGGGTTCTCGGTTCTCGGGTTCTCGGGTCCTCGGTTCTCGGTTCTCGGGCCTCGGGTTCGCGGGTCTCGGGAAGTGCTCGCTGTCAAGTGCGTTCTGAAACAAATACAAACGAGGTTGCTCAAGAACACTTTTGATAGCCACTGGGGAGTCCTAGAGATGGGTTTTCCTAGGGCTCTCTCAGGGCTAGACAGCCGAAACGGCTGCACTACCTCCTGCCTCCACGGGAGTCTCGTGCTGAAGCATAATCGGCACCTGGACCAAGGGAGCGAGGGCGTGCTTTCTTTCGAGAGTAGGCATAGGCAACACCCGTTTTACGTTTGAATCTACGGGGAATCCCACCAAACACCCAACGGTGCCAATGCTGGCGAACTGGGCAACGGCTCAATTCATGACCTAGACGATTCCTTCCGAGCTTCCGCATCCATCGCGGGCAAAGCGTCATGTTGTTTCCCCCCCCCCCCCCCAAGAAAGTTCCCATTCCCTCCAACATGATCTGGCAACAAACAACACCATGACTCCATGACATACTTGTTAAGCGGATTGGCGCAAACTCGTCTGAACAAGTTGTTGTTTCCCGTTTACACCATCTTCGTGCAACGCATCAAGTTCAGAAACTTGGGCAGCAGGGCGTATGCAATGAGTGTATTGGAGGGGTACATATCCGCGAAAGGTGATGTTGAACCAAAAGCGAGCACAAAGTTGGACATCTGAGCCAAAAGAAAACAACTTGGAGAGCTCCATTTAGCTGCAATTCCCTTGTCAAAGATGCCTCTGAACACAAATGGTATGGTTTTCGAAGGTTTGAGGTGGGACGTCTGTCCAGCGCCGGTCCATTCGGAACGCGCCTTTCTTGATGTTTGCATAAGGGCCGGGAAAAAAACAACATGATGCTTGATATTTGGGACTGTCTCCATTCTGAGGGGCGCATGAATTGGCTGGCTTCCTGTTGGTTTCGCTTCGAACCAAGCCCAAAAAGGGTACTATCAACCTTTAAAGGACATGCGCATTTCAAGTTGCATCCAGCAGGAAACCCAAAGGATGCCCATTTTGGGGGTCCCCTTTTTTGAGACAACTTCTGTTGCCTCTGCGAATTTTACAACTCCGACACCAATAATAATTCCATCCCCGGTCCCTACTTTGCTACATGATTCAATCAAGGGATGACAAATTCTTCTCATGATTCATGTCACAAACCCCAAGTGCTCAACAGGTCGGGGGGGAGGGGGGCTAAAATACACCAATCTCAAACAGCCAGCTTCCGGAGCCCGTTTTCGAGGACTTGCTTCCAGTGGTTTCCCAGCCCTGCGCCAGGGTCTCAAATCCACAGTTCCCACCAATCCAAACATCCAAGTACAGTTTATCTGATACCTACTTGGCCATGAGTCAAAACAAATGATACCATTTTGGGGTAGGTAAAAATAACAAATAAAAAATAGAACGTATTTTCGTGGGGGATTGGGATGTTCACTGGGGGTACGGTTTGGACTTTGATCCATGGCCATTTGACCTTTCGCTTCGCGAGACATCCACCTGGCCCCCTGCCTCCTCCAGGCGCTCGTAGTACCGGAGCTCTCTCCTAGGCACTGGCCGGTCCTGAGCCACGCGCCGGCCATGTTCCGCGCGTTTGCTGCTGGGGCGCCATAAGGGTCCCATGTGGCTGTGGGTCAAAAATAGGTACCCAAAATGGAACCGTGGGAAATCGAGACATGGACTAACACCTGCGGTCCCCTAGTGCTTGAATTTTAACTTACACCCACATGGAGCTTTTAGCTTGGGCGGAGCAACAAGAAAAAAATTGGGGGGGTGCGGTGGTGAGGATCTTCAGTGAGCCGATCAGATAGAAAAGAGGGAACTATTTCTTTTGGGTTGGTCGACGAGTTTTGTTGAAGCCATCAACAAAAAGGGATTTAGCGCCACTGAACAAATGGAAATCCGGGCGGGTCAGAGCAGCACAAAATGGTGTCCCGATTTCGAAGCCGAATGGGTTGTGCAAATAGGGATGTCACTGAAAACTGAGGGTCTCCCTTTGGCTTCCCTGATCTTCCCTGTGAACCTGAAAACGGTACTAAGCCTACACAAACCCATGTGGCCGGAAGCAAAGATAACAGGGTCGTGCGATACCAGAGAAGCCAAATGCTTGGACTGGGAGGATGGGCTCGCGTGACCTTTCGGTCGTGCACCCAAAAGCCAAAGTCGGAAATCTGGTTTGACTATGATTCTATGTTGTCGTTTTGAACAGGGATACTCAAAACAACATTTAGGCAGGAATCACCTGTTTGCCTTAAAGCCTTAGGTTAGAAGACTGTGCTGAAGCTTCACAGGGTAAATTTGTTGAATTCCGATTGAAAATGAGGGTTGTGTCGCAATGCCGATTGATGTGGAAGAAGATTCACCAACGCGTGGACAATGCCGAACGACTCCTGTCGATGTAATCAGATCGATCATGCTGTCGCATCCTGGTGTCCTCCAAAAGCAAACAATTAGATAATCAGTTGTTCAGCCTCTGATACCCCCACAAGTGCACAGGCTCTCCAAGAATGACCAGTCGGCCTGAAGTGTTCAGCGTACCAAGCTATGTCATTCTGTGCGGAAAAAAAGAGGTTCATAAACCTCCTCCTATTCCTTATGTAAGCACGCCCACAAAGGCAGCTCAACGTAGTACTCTATTCTCTGCTCTTGGGGCCCCAAAAGGCCGGCTTTATCCTGGCGAAGTGCAACATTACCGGGTTACTACCCAAGGCATGGAATGAAACACACAACCAATGTAGCAACAGTCGCGGGACGGGGCAAACCAATGCAAGTCAGAAATTCCGACCTCGCCTCCTGGCCAACCGTGAACAGGGCTCCCAATGTTGCCGGTTTAAGCATCACCCAGGCCAAAGGACATTGATTTTGAGTTGGACCAACTGGTTACAGTTCCAAAAGGGAAAACTGAAGGAAAGCCTTCAAAGGGGTTGTCCAACAAAAAAGGGAAAGTCGCTACACGCACACCAGGAAAACACAACACCACCCTGTATGAGTCAATACTTTCATACACAATGGTTGAGAACCTTTTGGCAAAGGGGCAAATCTACTTGCCCCACGGGGTACACAACAATGGTTCACATGTATGATGCCTTACATATAAAAGATAGGTAGGGGTCAAGGAGACCCACATAGCGCAAACTACATGGACACAACCAGGGCGTGGGCGATGTACTGCACCATGGTCTTCGGAACCTGATGCCGTGTGCTTCTGTGATGTCGCCAAGAGAGGGGTACGGCTGTAGCCAAGGCCGCGCAACAAAGGGGTGCCAGGGTGCCAAGACCCTATTTCACACTTGTGGCATAGCACACCCTCACATGGCAACCCTTTCATGACTAGACTTAGGCCCAGTGATAGAATGAAAATTATATTGGTTGCTTCCCTTGAGCCACTGGTAAAATGTAGAATGTATCCTAAGTCTACCCCAGCTTTCATGTGGGGTGGGCTATGCGATTTTCAAGCGCTCATCGCTCAGCAACACGCACAAAACTGCAACTGCAAAAGGTAGTTTGCACAAGACCCTCCCCCATTTCGAATTGATCATCCACACTGACTTACCGACACAAACCCAATTGCTGCAGCTTCGTTCGCTTTGACAAGGAACCATATGTATATATATATATATAGGTAACTTTATATATGTACATTTGTACATGTATTATCACGATCACGATCTCTCACCAAGCTCAAATCAGATGCCGCTTGCGGCTGGGATCCATCACAATTTTCTGGGTTGGTCGAACAATGGGGAAACCCCAAAAATGGGCAGTGCCATTCGCACATTTAGGTCCAACCCATGGTGGCTCCGTGGTATACATGATTGTCCTTTCACCAAGCCACCCGTCATTGAGTACTGCGATATGTTGTTGGTTTGTGTTGAAGGGGCCCCACCAATGCGCGTAAAAACCCATAGTTCGTTGTTTGTCGATTTGTGTTAGCCGGGAACCCTCACAAAAACACGAAAAGCCATGAATTCCGCGTTTTGGCTTTGTTTAGTTGTTTCATTTTGAAACCTGGGTCCCTTCTCCCCCCCCCCCCCCCCACTTGTTCTTAACATACCGCGTATTTTAACATGTAGAAGGGCACCCACTTGAAACCAACCGGGCCGTCGCGATCTTGCCTTGCGCACCACTTCGCGGATCTCCACCTCCGGCACCTCTACGATCTTCTCCTATGCGTGGATTGGCGCAAAGTCTGTGGACCCGGCTGGATATGGGTGTTTCTCAAAATTGGAATTGGACCCCTCCACGTAGGTGTTTTTTTGTTGGTTCCCTCAAAAACATCCACCAAAAATGGGTCTCCTACTTTGAAAACACCTTCATATGGCCATGGGTCGAAATCCAAATCGTACCCCCAGTGAACATCCCAATCCAACCACTAAAATAGGTTCTAAAATGGGTGGTGCACCTACCCCAAGATGGTACCATTGGTTTTGACCCACAGCCACGTATACTTCATATGAGACATAATCAAAACCTGGCACAAAAACGGTGAACCCGGAACCATGTAAAGAAATGAAAAGGCGGCCGCAACCATTTATGGCTGGGATTGTCCCTCCGGGTTTTGATTGTGACTCATATACCCTCCCACCAACCAACATGGAAGTGCACAAAGCCCCTTTCCAAGAGGAAAGCCGTCTTTCTGCAGTCTGTGCACTGCCATGTTCGTCGGTGCCAGGGTACCTATATATGTGTATATCTATGACTACCAGACAAAGCTGCCGACGAAAAATACCAAGAGTAAAAGCAAACAACTATGATAGAAAGCCAAAACACATCCAAACGCACAAAGACAGGAGCACGGAACTTTTGACAATTTCCCGGATCTCTTCCTGGACGTCGTTTCTCGGAAATTGGGTTCGAATGCAGTTCACATATACGAATACCAAACAATGTTACCATCAGGAACCGACTCAAATCCGAACTGAAAGGTAGCTCTCTTGCCGAAGAAAACGGAAGAATGAGAAGGGACGAAGCGAATGCCTATGTGGCGGGAGAATAAACTTGCCTGAAAGTGCAGCCCTCTGTGGGCTGCTTCGGACGTACGAAAGGTAAACGCGACGAATGGTAAGTGCCGTCCTTTTCGCAAACCTTTGATAATCCTGATGGGAATCCAGGGCGCAAATAGCGTTAGGACACCTGCTTATGTTTTCCTTTGAGGCTCAACAGGCGCAATGTCTGTTGAGTCACAGTCAAACACTTGTATTTGACGGAGTTGACTCCAAACCATGGAAAACACATACAAAAAGCCGATACAACCAGTTTTGGGCACTCGGAATTCACGAGCCAAATTGGGTTTTCATCGGGACCTTCATCCTGGCTCCCCCAATCGATGCTATGCCCTACTTCATTGAAACTGCTCCGTGTGGAATTGGTACCAGTTGTTGGTTCTGTGGTCCTTATCTTCACACGCTGCCCTCACACACACATGTACTGGGTCCAAAGTGACATCCTGAAACTACGACCCACTAAATGGTGGTTCAAAGGGCAACCATCCTCAAAGTATTTTGAGAACCCCTCAAAATGCAACAGCATTCATTCAAGGGGCCAAATGCAATCCCCGTTTTGCTCCTCTTGGGGGACTCCCTTTTTGGGTTCCATAATCATTCACGGGAAAGCAAAGAACAAGCATCTGGTATTTTTCATTTTTTAAGACGAACCCCAGCACACTGAAATTCAGGTATTTTTGGGAACCGCCTCAAAATGGAAGCCGCTTGGCTTGGGGCTCCTTGTTGCATCGTTTTCCCCGCCCCAAACCTTGCTGGTTCGCAGCAGAAAATGAGACAATGAGCTCCTACCGACAATCCCTTCTGGTTTCCTATCCATCCCCCATTCCCTACCACTGCAGCCAGGCAAAACGCCAGAAACTTCATCTCTCGGTAAACCTAGATTCATATATCTAGCCACGCTCCTCATCCGTCAATTTGATTCCTTTTAGCCAACCACAAAAAGCTATGAAAGATACAACAAGTCACCACACATCTTCTCCAACACATCTTCTCCATGCTCCAAGGGACCCCATTGGATTCGCTTCAAAACCTCAGGGATGCTCCACGCCCATCGCTGGATGGCCACAGAAGCGCCTGGTACAGCACCTGGGGCACCTCCACCAGCCGCTCTCGGTACTCGATCACCGGCTTCGGGACCTCGAAAGCTCCGCTTGGAGGCTCGGACCCGGAAGAGATCTGCATCTGGGTCCTCCAGTAGAGAGGTTAGAATAAGTTGGTACCCGATTTTCGTTCTGTAGTCTGTTTTAGTATTATGACATTCCACACACTGAGGTGTCTTGAAATATTTATTTAAACAAAAAATATCATCGATTTCATTATCCTCAACACTATCCTTTTTTTTAGATCCTCATCGGTTGTCATTATCCTCCAGGTTATCATCTTTTCATCCTCATGGTTTTTCATGATCCTCAAGATTATCACTGCTTTTCCTCGTCGTGTTTCATGATCTTCCTCGCTTGCCTGCCTGCCTGCCTGCCTGCCTGCTCGCTCGCTCGCTCACTTGCTTTGCTTTGCTTTGCTTTGCTTTGCTTTGCTTCGCTCGCTTTGCTTTGATTTGCTGGGCTTGGCTTTGCTTGGCTTGCTTTGCTTTGCGAGTGTAGTGCGTATGTCCGATATATGCAAGAAACTGAGCAGATGGAACAGCTTTTGTGGAGCGTGTCTGACGGTGGCTGTTTTGAAGCTCGTTTCAACTCGTGTTCCAGGCTGGAGAACAGGGGAGGAAAATAGGGAGGATGATTTTGGAAGGTTGATGTCAGGTAGGATGATTTGTTGGATTATTTTTGAAGATGGATTCCGGTCAGGATGATTTTTCGAAGATTTTGATTGTTCGATGATGTTCCATGAGTTTTCGATGATTTTTTGAAAAAAACAGAGAGGTTTTGCAACTTGTTGCTTTTGCTGACCACTGTGAAGGGGGTTTGGTCCAGAAAATGTGGGTTGGGGATGATTTTCGAAGATTTTTCGAAGATTTTTCGAAGATTGTTCGATGACTTGTTGAAAAAAAACAGGGGGGTTTTGCAACTTTTTGCCTTTTTTTCTGACCACTGTGAAGGCGGGTTGGTCCAGAAAATGTGGGTTGGGGATGATTTTCGAAGAATTTTCGAAGATGGTTCGATGATTTTTTGAAAAAAACACAGGGGGGTTTTGCAACTGTTTGCTTTTCCTGTCATTCTCAGGAGTGGGGCAGGCATCCGGGCTCAGGAAGAAAGATGACAGAGGGGAGAAGGGAAAGGGGCGAGGACGGGGAAAGAAATGAAAGGAAAGGAAGAGGAAGAGTGAAAAGGGAAAGAAGGAAAAGGACAGGGCAAAGAGAAAGGGAGAGGACAAGGAAGAGAAAAAAAAGAAAGGAGATGGACAATTCAAACAAGAAGAGGGAAATGGAAAAGGGTAAGGAACGGGAAGGAAAGGAAACTGGAAACGCAGAGAATAGAAGCGATGTGGAGGAGGGATGAAGGAGGAGGGAGAGGATGACTTTTCGATGATGTTTTTTGCAGAGGATGATTGTAGGATGATTTTTGGATCGGTTTGAGGATAGCCAAATCGATGATTTTTTGAAAAACAATAAAAATCAAGATGTCCAGTCTCTGGCTGGCTAAAAAAACATATGAGAATCCTGATGATATCCATGACTACTTGGTCGCTTTGAAGGGGATTCCTATAGCATCACAAACCTGCACGTCCAATGAGATCGTGGTACCCAAATGCTTTGACATCAGCTTTATGTAATACCGAAGCACCATTCACAGTGGATTGTCAAACTGTGTGGCCCTCAAGTGTGACCTTCTCGACAGTAATATCGTCAACACACACACACACACACATCTGATCTCCCAACAACTTTGCGCAAACACAGGCAACACCAAGGCCAACTCGAATCAAGTCCAAAAAGTATTAACCATGTTAACACATCTTGTGTAAACAACCTGGCCCCTCCCCGAGGTACATCGGACATGTTCGGATTCAGTGTTGTATCAAGCCAGCTGACAACTAAAATACGATAGCACCACACGGGTGTGTTGAAAATAAGGGCACCCCCCCCAACAAAATGTTGCGCTTCCTTTTGGTTTGCCTGTGAAACCTGACAGAGGTACGTATATCGGAGACCGCAGTTCGGGTATGGCCAACTCCAAGATCTGCACACTCATCCAAAACCCATGGCCTTCTTCTCCACATACTGCACCTCCACTTTGGGCACTTGCCGCACCACCTGCCAGTGGAATAAGCGGTATCTTCGTATTTATTTGCTGTGTTTTTGTTTCTTATTGTGTCTTTGCTCGTGTTTTGTATTTTTCTTTTAGGGGTTCTTATTGGGACACATGTGACTCACTTTCTTTTTGTTGGATTGAGGTGGAAAGGGGGCATGCAAGGAACCCATGACTGGAGTGAGAGGGTTGTCTCCTTGCCCACCCTTGAGTAGAGCCTCCACAGCTTATACATGGCTGGGCAAATCTTCAAGAAGGGCACTAATTTATATAAGTCGCTGATGGAATCCATAAGCAAGGAAAAGTCCTCCTGGGGCCCAGAAACCCTCGTTGTCCCCTAGGATCGGTAGAACAAATGCAGGAGCACGCGGTTGGCCAGTGACTTCAAATGAATTTTGAGGTTGACCGTGATTATGAAGAAAACAGGTGAACGGCAGAATGCCGCTGCGCGAGCGCCATGTCTCCTTCAGTTCTTTCAATGCGAGGGTTAATTACAGAGAACACCTTGTGCCGCGGATCGTGTAATACACCTGCTCGACAACGGCTTTCCGTGAAAGTCGCGAAGCAATGCCATATGGTTCTAAATGGGCCCTTGGTGCCTGAGGATGTAAGCCAAGAGGTCAAAGTCTATCCTCACGTACTGGGACCCGATCATGTTGAAACACACGCCATGTCCAACCGATCACAAAAACGCAAGGAGAAGATCCCCCACCAAACGTCACACCATGTCACACGAAGCGAAGCCGCGATCGATCCCTGCCTCGCGGACTTCCACACGAGGCACCTGTCAAACGCGAGCAAACAAACTATCCCTGCCCTGGAGGAAAATTGGGTCTGTCTATGCGGGTACACTTGTTGGTTGCTTTCAAAAGGAGACCAACATGAAAACTACAATTTTGCTGGGTTCCCTAAAAAAAGACACCCCGAAATATCAGCCTCAAAATCGCAGACGCGAAGGCTAGCGACTTCTTTTCCCAGGACCTGAGAAAACTTGGTGCCGCTGTGCGTGGGCCTCTCCAGACCAAGAGTTGACCAAAAGAAAATCCCGTTAGTGACACATCTGGGGATACCTTCCCCATTCTTTCCAGGGATCCTTCTTTCTAGAAAACCTCCGGACGCCCAGGGAACACGGCTGGCTTTCCAAAAGAACGATGGGGAATCAACCCCTAGAACTTATGGATTTCGCTGAAAGTTCTCGGCCCCTGCGCAACTCTAGAGAAACCCCTCCAATGACTCCAATGGCTGGTTTCCAGTTGGCCCTTCTGGACCTCTTTCATCAGCCTTGATGTTTTTCCTTGGTAAGGGGTGTAGTAAAACGAAGCTCATGCAACGCTGGAGCCGGCATGACTTCCAGCCAGGAACCTGTCATGGAATTCTGCCGTGTCTTCATAAGCACTCAAGCCTTAGAGCGAATCAAGCCGCGGTCCCGCCAAACTCGGCCCCTTTCTCCCAAGAAGCTGGCCTTAAGCCCTGCACCGGGGGAGTATGGTGGAGGCCAGGGGAGTCTATGAACTCAGTGCAGTCGTTGCTTGTGTCTTAAATTGCACATGGTTTCCAAAAGCCTGGAAGGGTAGACATGTGTGCGTGTTTGTGTGTGTGTGTGTGACGGTGTGATTGTGTGTGTGTGTGATTGTGTGCGAGAATGTGTGTGTGTGTGAATGATTGTGTGCGTGTGTGATTGTGTGTGTGTGTGAGTGATTGTGTCTGTGTGACTGTGTGTGTGTGTGATTCTGTGATTCTGTGATTGTGTGGTTGTGTGTGTGTGATTGTGTGTGTGATTGTGTGCGAAATTGTGTGTGCGTAATTGTGTGTGTGTGTGATTGTGTGCTTGTGTGATTGTGTGCTTGTGTGATTGTGTGTGTGATTGTGTGCGTGTGTGATTGTGTGTGATTGTGTGTGATTGTGTGTGTGTGTGTGTGATAGTGTGTGTGTGTGATTGTGTCTGTGTGTGTGTGTGTGTGATTGTGACTGTGAATGTGTGTGATGGTGTGTGTGTGTGTGATTGTGTGTAATTGTGTGTGTGTGTGTGATTGTGTGTAATTGTGTGTAATTGTGTGTGTGCGTGGTGTGTGTGTGTGATTGTGTCTGTGTGATTGTGTGGGTGTGTGATTCTGTGCTTGTGTGATTGTGTGTGATTGTGTGCGTGATTGTGTGCGTGAGTGATTGTGTGTGATTGCGTGTGATAGTGTGTGTGTGTGTGTGATTGTGTCTGTGTGTGTGATTGTGTGTGATTGTGATTGTGTGTAATTGTGTGTGTGTGTGGGTGCGTGGGTGCGTGCGTGCGTGCGTGCGGGCGGGCGGGCGGGCGGGCGTGCGTGCGGGCGTGCGTGGGTGTGTGTGTGTGATTGCGGGTGAATATGATTGTGTGATTGTGTGTGATTGTGTGTGTGCTTGTGGTTCTCTTTTGCTGCGACCCGTTCTTTGGGTTCTACGTTCATTGCAGTTGAATATGGTTTTACCAAAGGAAATGCTCGAAAAATGGGCGCATATAAAGGGCAATGGGCTGCTTCCATCATCCAAATTTCCAGATTCCTGACTGATTCGATCCTGACCATTTGAAAAATCCAAGGCTGCAAAGGTGTGTAAAATCTCCTTAGAAGGGTTCAGAGAACTACAGGACTAGACAAGGACACAAAGGCAAACGCAAAAGAACAAAAGGTCGATTGGCTTTGGACAGCTGAGTCACAATCAAACCCGGCAAATAATTGAAACGCCGGCGCACTCATTTATGGTTGGGATTGTCCTTGCTCATCTTCACTGACCCAAGTGTTGATTCTGGCTCAACTGAGAAAGCCATCTAGCAGCTTGGAAGGGGCGTCTTCGGAACATTGCCTCAATGATGTTCTCCCTCGTCTCCACCTGCGATCACAGGATCGAAACCCCCAAACCCTCTGCGTCCCCCAAACCGACCACGAGAGCGTTCCCTCCGAGCTTTCCGCTTTTTGGGGGAGCCTTGTTCAGGCGAAGTGTGCTCCAAACGGAAAGGCAAACCCAGGAAGGAAGCCCAAGATTCTCGCCATCCTATTTCAAAGAAAAAACACACATGCTGAGGTCAGCCTAACCTCCATGCCCCATGTGAGCGGTGTCCCAATAGGGTCATGAAGGCTTCCCATAGAGCCAATGCAAAAAAACACCTTCAAATTAGGTAGTGGACCCACCTAACTGCCAAAGGGGTTTCGGGCAGAAGCTCATGTCAGCTGTCAGGGCACATCCTTTCTACTCAGTCACTGGGGTATCTTTTCTAAGACTTCCGACAACTTCGAGAATGCTCCGGGATTCCCATTGCTCATGCACCTGCTTGGAAGCGAAATGTCCATGGCCCAAAGGCGAATCCGGGCAATCCCAACCGCAGCGCTATGGGTTTCTCCGCAAAGAGCCACATGTTAGGTACACCTCAGGGATGGCATTAGGTCATGCAATTGACTTCCTGGGCCTTCTCCTAGCCCAGGCATCCAAGAGATGTCAGCTGCAATGAAAACTGTGGTTCATACAGGTGGTGACTGTTTTGACTTTTCGAAGAGAGCTGGCCAATCTGACCTTGCAGTATCCCGATTGCGGGGACCACCGCAAAGTAATAAAGAAACACCTGTCCACAGCCCAAAGAAAAACCGGGGCTGTTCCAGCGAATGCACAGACACATCTATTCATCTTCAACTGCTTTCATGACGCTGCTGAAAGCATTTCAGAAAGCATTCCCGTTAGAACATAGTCCGAAGGCTTGTGAAAATCAAGCCCTTGAAGCCAAGCTGTATTTCCAGCCTGAGGGCGAAGTAAGCGAAATGCGAAAATGAACCAAATATGAGAAGCAACACAAACCAGACGTGTCCACACAGGCATCTCCTCTTGAAAACTATTCCGCTCTTGGTCCCGTGTAGACCCGGCACCCATTGTCTGCGTAGTTGACTTTGGAAGGGACGCCCCCTCCAACAAAGGGAAGCAGGGAACCCTGGCGCAAAATCAGTGCAAGACCAATTGCCCATAGGAATCATACATGTCTATGCAGTTTGTGCGGACGTTATCCGTCTCCAAGATTGTTCCAAGACCTCCAACATATTCTATGCATTCATCAAATAAGGACAAGCAAAAGATGCACAATGCATCCAAATGCTGACCCAATCCAACCAATGCCTCTGCTTTCGGCCCCTTTGGCAGTCCAATACTGGAACTCAGACAGGTCCCTTCCGGCATCTGGTTCGCGTCATATGGGGACCCCGTCGAATTGCTGGTGTCAAAAGGGTGCTCAACATTAAACAGCTGCGGTTGCGCGGATGTTCTCGTCCTTCCCAAATACCATGAAGTGTTGAGTACCATGTGGGCTTCTTAAGGGGACCCCAAAAAAGGTTGCTGATCCTTTTGGTCTCCCTTTGAAACTAAGAAATCGGCGGGACTACCCTAGACAAACAAATGCAACTCCATCTCTTCCCTTGGGACAACCTTACCATCACGCGCGCGTCATTCCCGGAGCTCGCCAGCTCGCCGACTCACCGACTCGGCGACTCGCCTGCGGCACCTCCTCGATGCGTTCCATCAACCTCGCAACATGGACCCAAGACATGAGAAAACAGGCAATCAAATTGAAATCAGATCAAGTGAATCAGGTGACATCAGCCAATCTAACCAAAAAGTAAATAGGTGCTTCTCCAAAGAACTCATTCTAGTAAAATCAAGCACACAGTCTGATTTTCACAAAACAAGCAAACACATCACATCAAATCCAGTCAAGTCAAATCCGTGTGTTCCCCAAAAGGAAGGCTCCGGGATAAGAATCAACCAGGGCTTTATTGATCCAAGAACGATAATAGCCCAACCCACTTGGCCTCTTGGCAAGAGGCCAAGAGCGCACCTGCTCCCTAAGAAACTCATGTGTCTCAATGCAAGGGACCCTGAACATGTTGTTGGTTTTCCGGTTGCTTCCTTGTTTCGACAAGAAATGCTTCCTTTTTAAACAAGAAGAACCTGAACATATGTCTTTGTCCCTTTGTTTCCTTTTGAAACCATCCCAAAAAGGCGACTCTGAAATACAAAGGACACACCCGGCTCAGAACTCAATCCATCGCGAGCGCAGGATCGGCCACGCTGAATCCATGTTGATAAGGGGTACTTAACGGTAAGCCACTGGAGCGGATTTGCCTTGAAATGCGGCACACCCCCGCCCAAAAAAAAAATGCAGGGGTCCTTGTGGTTTCCCTTGAAACAAACCCGAAAAGCGTGCAAACAACAATTAATGACACACATATATTCATCTTGCTTCGCAGCTTGCTTGGTATAGGGCAATCGCTTCTTCAGGGCACAGCAGGCCAATCCCTTGCTTAAATAAGTGCACACCGCTACTCTTTGTACTGCCGCCTTTCGGTTTCCTTTAAAGGCAAGCAGATTGGCTCAGCGCATGCCGACCCTTGATATACCATTTGTTAACAAAAGCAACTAGCAACATGGCCCAGGGAGACTGCACCAACCCTGTTTGGGTCGAGTCGTTGAATGGGTTTGATCACACATGGGCTCCATGCCCTGTGGCGTCTCCTCCATTTGAAGTCCCTGGAGAACTACAAAGATGTCCAGTAGTGATACATTCCCTTTCAAACCAATAGGGGATCAACCAAAGCTTCAGCAAATCAACACACAAAGACATAGCATATACGTTCGAGCACGCCCTACCCCCTGATGGTGAACACGAGTTCTTTCCGGCTCGGGCTCCGCGCTGCAGGGTGGGCTTTTCCACCTGTCTCTCCACCTGAAGCCAAAGGAACCCCCGATTGCGCGCACGCCTTTGTGCGGCTACAAGGAAGGCGACCACCAAAACCTACGCCATTTTGTGGAGCTGGCCCTTTTTGACACCTCAGATGGCAAGAAGCTTCAGCTCGACCACCTCCCGCGAGCTTCTCCTTTTCAACAGGGCCGAAATGGCGACATGTACTCGCTCGGGTAAAAATATACAAGCACGTGAAGAACAAGGACCGACTAGGAAGGCAACAAAACACATCAATCCTTTTTCCTATCGCTTTCCTGAAGGGCATGTAACAATTCATTAAGCAATGTTGCGCCCTGTTGACTGGCCTAGAGCTCAAGGCTACACACCTCCCATTCGTCCCTTGCCCAGCTATGGGCTATGGGAAGAAAGCCAGCTTTTGCGGGAGATGTTGAAGGGAAGCCCGCCAAGGAATGGATAGGATACCCTGACCCAGTGTGCTTCACTGCCTCCCGCAACAAATCTAACCAGCAGTCTGCACTAATTCCAATACGTCAATGGCCTGATGTATACTGGGAGTCCCTGTGCGAACCTCTCCATGGGTCGTTTTACCCCCAAACCGTACACTGTTTCTCAATAGCACGCAAGCTGATCCTCAGCCAGAAGGCGATTCAAATTTAAGGCACCATGCTGTGGTCAAATTCATATCCAGGTGTCCTCCTGGCATTGGAAGGGAGCAACTTCCATTTTCTGCTGGAATATGTCGGGTCCAACTTCGTCCTCTTTTCCGGCCCGTATCAACCATCCCGAACCTCTTTAAGCCAGGTTGGGCCAAAAGAAGCGCGAAGCGCTTGAGGCTGGTTTACCGGTTTACCCGGGCCGCTGGGCTGTCGAGAATTGTCGGTCTGAAAAGGACCCGGGGTTTCCCATCGATCGCTCAAAGACAAATTCTTGGCGCCGGGAAATTTTCATCCAGTGCCTCGCCATCGTCCCCTCTGCCCACTTCAGCCCTGGGCCCTGCCTGCTGAACGTCCTCGGAGGGCAAACAGACATGCGGTTCCTCCCGAGCCCTTGTTGAACTACCAAACGTCTTAAAATAGGAACACCACTTTTGGGTGTTTTGTTTTTGAAAGCTGCCAGCTTAAGGCTCGTACTAGAAAGCTCAAACTGCTATTTGTATTCAGCCACCCACCAAGCGAACACACCGACCATCAAGCATAACGGCTTGAAAGCTGGTTCGTTTGGATTTGGAGGAGCCAGGGACAGCAGGGATGATCATGGCTCGAACAATTTTTTAGACGCTGGCTCTGGAGCTATAGACCTGCCAACCGCGTTGATACTTCATTCTCCCTGGGGTCCTTGGCAGACAATTATGTGCAGGGATGCGCCCCAGAAAAAGAGCTGACAAGAAGGTGGAAAAGCCATTCTCCCAGCGTCTTGCACATCTCTGCTGGGTGCTGCATCCCCTTTGAAGGTGTGCTGGTTGAAAACGAAAACTTAATAGTATGGGTAACGTTGGTGGTTGAAAGAAAGAATGAACAAATACCACACAGGCAAAAGGCTGGATCATGGATGTGGAAAATAGACCTTGCGACACGAAGCCGGTTCGTTCACGTGACTTCACTTTGAAGGGGACTCTATCGGTATCACAAAACATGGCAACTGGCAACTCGACAACGACATGTCTCATGGTCGAACAGTTAAGCCACGTCTGGCGACAAATGCATCACCTTCGATCGGCTCGGCTTAAGCCCCGCGCCACCTTTGCCACTTGCTTCACCAGTTCGCAGCGCGCCGACACCGGCACCTCGGCCCCAAGTCCATGGCCAGCTCGCCCGCCGAGCAAACAACTGCAGCCAAATTGGGAAGCTAGATCTGTTTTCATGCGCCCCTGCGCGTTGCCCCTGGAAAGTGCTAGAAGATGCTAAAAGAGTGCTAAAAGAGTGCGGCAAAAGTTGGATCCACAGTTGGAGCGTCTAAAATCAGAGAGAAATGTCCTTTCATCATGGCTTTATGCTGCCAAACTGGAAAGTTGTCAAAAGGAAAACTAGCTGAGCTCTTACCTCCAAACCAAAAGTATATGTTTTGACTCTGGTGTTCCATGCAGTTTTGTTTGTGAGGGTACCTGTGTTCTGAAGATGATTATGCGTGTTCAAAGGCACACCACCACCCAGCTTTTCTTTCAGCTTTTCTTTGTGAGACGGACTCAAGGACCCCCTTTCCATAGGGGTGTCTTTTTCCAGAGGATACCATTTTTGGAAGCTATCCATCCCCTTTTGGTTCCTGGAAATGTCAAGCTGCCGGGACCCATAGTTGGACGCAACCCCGGTTCGTTGGCACCTTGAAGCTGGCCATTTTGCTCGGCCCGATTTCCGTGCACCCCCTCAACGGGAAGGAGGGCTCGGGCGCAAGCGTAGCCTAAACCTCGTGTATGGGATATTTTCCCATGTTGTTCAAATCGGTCAAATGTTGGCGTACAGTACATAGCACAAAGTATGTGGAAAGGGACAACGATTGATAGCGCCTTCAAGACCGAAAGCCAGGAAATCCGTGAACCATGTTCTTTGCACTCGAGCAAGTCGCTGATTTGTCTCTCCACATGGCTATCATTATCCTACCTGTCACGAATCACTTGCTGCTGCAACTAGAAAACAAGCAAAAGGGATTGGTTTCATAAATGATTTTGCCCTGCTTGCTTGCCAATGTCTACCTATGTGAAACCCACCCACCCACTCTCTTATGGGGGCCATGCCAAGGGGATCTGTCCCCATCAAGTTCGTCCATCGAACACTAAGAAATCCGGACCAGGATGGCAACATCTGAAAGTGGACTGTCCCAACAGCAAATCTGCTCAATTACTATCATGCAGCTGAAAGGAAGTAATCCCCATGCAAACTGTCTTCAGGGGTGAGCTCGTTGACGTCGCAGGCGAGGCCATGGCAAGGAGTCCTCTGTCGCCTTCCTACACGCATGCTGCTCAAAGCCTCATTGAGGTCGGCTAAACATTGCACTCGCTGCACTCCCCCAACATGAACGAACAGGAAACAAAAAAAAGCAGGGATGTAAGCAATGCCCTGCATCACATTTGGATCAGGACCATCCAATCAACCCCTACAGTACGTCCAACAAACTTCCGTTCAGCGGCGCAGGGAGTTTGGCTCCAGGCTACAAAGGTGTAGAAAGGCCACGCTAACACTACCAGGTCCTCCAGTAGAGAGGTTAGAATAAGGGTACCCTTTTTTCTGTAGTCTATTTTAAGAGCGGAACCCTCCCCAAAAAAAAGGGGTAAAAGGGCACTACTGGGGGATCTAGACTATGTGATTGGTGGAACCCCCTTGCCATGGCGGGTTTGGGCACCCCGCCTCCATGATCTCTTCATGCACCAGGCTATGGGGCACCTGAGACCAGTTCTACCCTCCTGTCCACGTTGCCATGCAGCCCACCGGAGGGTCCCTAAGGAACATAGGCTTCCAGGAGCCCTCAATCAGGTTCAGCGTTCGCGGATGGGAGGATGAGTCAAGAAAAGAGAACAGAACCAGTCAACATTAGCCAATAATCCGGGTACAAACGATGAGGATGAGCAAAACGGACAAGCAAAACCACCGCAACGATTCCTACCTGGATACGCCAAAATGGGTGGGTGCTGGACAGCCGCGGGGCCAGGAACTTCATGCTCCGAAGAAGAAAAATAAACTGCTCAGCAGGGAATGAGTTGCATGGCATGACCCCAAGAAAAACCATCCAACTGCTGGTTTCCTTTAAGGGAATCTCTGGGTTCATTCCCACATTCTCCACTGAGCACCTTCAGGATGAATACAAACATCTGGGAGGTTCTCAAAATGGACCGCTTAGATAAATAAAGGGAAGCCAAAAGCAAGCCGTCGCCTTTGTAGGGGACCGATTCCTATGATCAGAGTACACATGTGAGTGAGTACAAATCACTCACTGGCTCAAAGAAATGGTTCGCAACCCCCCTTTCTTTGGTCGCTATCAGGGTTGCGCTAGACACAAGTGATATTGCCCGAATACTCCATGCACGGAGTATTTACCCACATTTATCCTCCAAGTGGATTAATTAGCGCATCACTCTAACGGCCAGATTGTTCTCAGGCTAGTAGTTGACGCGTACACTTTCGCAGCCCCGTTGAAACTCTCATCGCGAAGGAGGCAGTGTACGAGACACTGCAGCTTTGCCCGCATCTGGTACTCCAAAAAGTGTCACATCTAGTTTACCCTGAGTTTTGTTGGAGTCCCCGGCAAGCCTGGCATTGCCATGTGCCAAAGGGGCAGGGAAACCGGAGTAACCTGCATTGGTGGGGTCGGCAGCTGCCAATACTTTCCACAACTGCCACGCGGGAAGCAACTCGCCTTAACTCTTGCCGTAAGAAGCCCCTTAGTCTGCATATTGATTGGAAAAACAGCAACTGCAGAACCAAACCCACCCCCGGCCTCCACCAAACGCTCACGGAACTGCGTGACGGGCCTCGCCTGAGTTCCCATCAACTCAGGGCCACGTTGTCTAGAGCGCCTCTTATACAAACAAAAAGAGGGTTGTAGATGCAAAAACCAAACAGGGAAGTCTGACTGGATGTATCCCTGGCCTCAATTCCCTACTCTCATGCTTTCTCCAGGGAATGTCTCTCGTTGGTCTGATGGTGCTTTGGCAAGCGAACATGTGTATGCGCATGGCTGTGCTAGTAGTGTTTACGATACCCACATTGATTGACTGAAGATCATGACCAATGACAGGCAGCAGAAACACTCTAATCATGACTTCCACATCTTGTCGCGGCGTTTGGCGCATCGGTGCTTGATTGGGCCAAGTTAGCCATGCATGTGCAGACATTTGGATATCTGCACGCGGCATTGGCCCAGGATCTGCAATGGGAAGACAGTATTCATAATGCTCTGGCTGAGGAATAGAGGTGTCCCTTGAGTGAAATCCTCACTTTTAGGGTGTTACATATAAATTCTAGACAAATATACCATACCCATCCCTCTTCGGCTTCCTTTTGCGTATATTAAAAGTTATGGGCTATTTAGATAGACCACGAGGACCAGCGTGGCTTTTCGCAAAAAAGGGGGGCTCTGACCCTAAGGGTCCAGGTACCTTGTGAGGATGTCCTCCTTCCAGGGCGAAGGGATTTCTCATGATTTCTCTACACCAGTCCTGTACAAATAGACTAGGAAACAAAGATCATCACAAAAGGTCCGTCCACGGGTTTGGGGTACCATGAAGCTAAACTAAGTCATGAGCATGGGAAAAGAACGTTAGTAAATACTAGTTATTCACCTCCCAGCACCCTCCGACTACTGTGGTCATGTTAATTTCGTAACTACCGTGTATTTAGCAGTAGTTCCGAGCATAAAATAAAAGACAGTACATCCCCGATCTACGATAGTTTCACGTTCTTTCCCAAACTGTAAAAACAAGCTTATGTCCCTACCCCTTCCCGAACCCACGGGGTGACACGGAAGTGACACGCAGCGACACGCAATGTTTAACCATAGGAAGGAAACATAATTGGGAAACCCTGAGCAAAAGATGAACAAGAACACCACGTTTGCTTGGCCAGGTTGAGTTTTAGCGGTTCAAAGCAGAAAAACATGGATAGAACGGAAACGAGATCGATGTGTTTTCAACTGTTGCCAGGGTTGTTCCTTGACCCTGACCCAGTGGACATACGGTCCCTGCAAAGGAAACGGAAGGAAGCCAAGGAATCCAAAAGAAACATTAGGTAGAACTACATCCTCTTTCGCATGGTGGGACCATCTTGAGTTTCTACCAAAGTGGGTGTGTTTGTTGGGGGGACCCCAAACAAATTGTGGTTTCCTGTTGTTTCCTTTTAGAGCCACAACAAGGAGGGGGGATAACCTCAAAAAAGATACACCCAAGAACGACTTCGTCCTTTCAATGCAAAAATGGGCATGTCTGAAGTTCAGGCCAAGCTGCGAACTGCTTTGCGACCTTCTGCTCTGTGACTCGGGCCACCTGAAAAAGTGCCGCAAACAAGTGAGATGTGTTGAGGGTACCCACCATTTTGGGGGGGTCCTCGCCATTTTGGGAATGCCCCCATTTTGACACCAAACGAATGGATCTGGATTCAATCCATTCTGGAGCATTTGTCGCGCTTTCGCACAAAACGCAGCTGAGCAATGCTGGCAGTCCTTTGCCTGGAAGGGAAGGACATGTACCCTGCCATGCCCTTGTCGTGCAGGCAGCCATAGGCTTGCGCGCGAAGGCGCAGGCGTGCTGCTCCTCGTGCTGCTCCTCAAGCTTGTTCGTCTGGCAGTGCTGCTCCTCGCGCTTGTTCGTCCCTGGCTTGTCCTTCTTGCGCGGCTCCCTCGCCATCACGCATCTTAGAAGACGCACACATAATTTTGCCACGAGACAGACGATTGAGCATGACTCATGGCCACGCTTGCTGCTTCCCATGACGATTTTGCCAAGACCATCCCATTGTTATCGCAGAACATGGCAACCAAACACCCCATTGCCCACATGGAGTTTGATGTCTTATTTTGTCGAGGGTACCATCTCCAGTTCCCTGCAACTATCAACTCTTGGGAGGAGCTTACGAAGTCAAAGTTGAAACGTCCATTCTGGCGGCTCCTTTGTTCTTAAACATGCAGTTGCACTTCATTGCATGTATGGCATCTTGAAGGGAAGCATCTAACCAGCCAATTCTGAAAGCTATTGAAGGTGATCGTCAAAATGAACGAAAGAAGAGCCTTGCTCGTGGCGAACCACTCAAACTGTAGCAAACATTCCCAAGGGACACACTGCCCTTTTACCCACTCAACACGTATCGTTTGGCAACTTGTCTTGGCCTTCACGCTTTTGTGGAAACTCTCCATGTGAAGCGGGCCCCGTCTGTCTCGCTATCTTGTCGCTCGCAAGGAATAACACGCGCGCACTACAGCCCACGTTTCACCAAAACCGACATCTCCAAATGTCAACCTTTGACAATGGGCATCTTGCACACTCAAAAGGGCCGGACGCCACATGACAGGCCTGTTTGCAACCCAAACCAATCACAGAGCACTTTAAGAGGCACCTCAAAAGTGCTGCCATTTGGCCATGGGTCAAAATCCAAATCGTACCCCCAGTGAACATCCCAATCCAACCACTAAAATAGGTTCTAAAATGGGTGGTGCACCTACCCCAAGATGGTACCATTGGTTTTGACCCACAGCCATTTGATCAAGATGGTCTTAGCTGGGGTTGCGGTTCCCCTCCCCCTTTTCCAAATGGAAAAGTCGTCTTCCAAAACGGGTCTATACCCTTCCACTTTTGGTGGAGGGTACTGGGTTGCTCTTCCCTCACTTCAGTGTGAGTTTAGTGGAAACCCCATTCGTGTCCAAAAGGTCTAAAATGCTAAGGTCGCACCAAAGGCCAGCCATGGGCACAGGTTCCTTCACAATGAAAGCCATAGCCTGCCAGGTCTTGCTGGTTCAGCTCATTTCCCGGGCCACTAAAATGATCTTCCCCAAAATGTACAAAGTCCATGAACTCAGGAAGCGAGCTTCAGGGGGGCAATCCTTGAAGCGCGAAATTCCCTTGTCCCGATTTCCAAATGGACGCTTCGATTTGAGCTCTTCTCCCCAGAAAGTCCAATACGGGGATATAGCGAGAATCATACATCTAGCACACTTCAGAGCAGCAAAATGTCCGCCATGGTAAAACTAAGCCGCTCGGCGCGATTCACAAATTAGGGTTGAAACAACAACATAGTATCATAGTATCAGATGTTGGTTCCGGACATAGCAAAACAAACAAAAACAAACAGTGTAAATCAGCAAAAAACCGCATCAACAACAATAGTTGCTATGAGACCATGATACAAACAGTATTCAAGTGCCATGGGCTGTTTGACATGCTAGATAGTATGAAACGGAGCCTGCTCTTCATGATGCTTGGTGGGAGGTTGCAAGCCTTCCTGAGCTTCAGAAGACCTACCGGCCTTGAGGACTGATTTGTAGGACACAACGGATTTCGCAGAAAGTTCGGGGAGGGAAGCGGGAAAGAGGATCAAGTAATAGCCCCCTTTTAGTCCCTCCAATGAAACCCTTGGCACATGTGAAGTTCGCAGCACTGCCAACAGTTCGGTTCTCCGTGTAGTGCAAAAAACAAACCAATGGTTCTCTGTGTTTTCGACTCATAGACAAATACTGTATGTGCTCATAACTTCTAAAATATGCATATACGTGTAGGTGCGTATACATTTAACCCGTAGATATGCACACATTCTTGTACACTTACGCACATGCACATTACATATTCAAACGGCACCCACCTGCTTGACGCAGTCCACAATCTGCGGCTGCGCAACCTCCCGGCCCGATCCCAGGCCGTTTAGTCGGCTGCCTTTCAAAGAAACCGACCTGGTGTGTCCTTCGGTTTGTATGAATGTGAGCCGTGCCCAAAATCGTCGACTTTTGGTACTCACATTAGTGTGTATAGACCTTACTACTGCCTTTGTGAAACCAGGTACTGGAACCACCTACGTAAGATGGTCCAAAAGGAGTTTTGGGCGCTGCTCAAAGTGTTTGTGTTTTTCCCCGTTTTATTGTGTGTGTGTGTGAGTGCGCGCTCGGGTGTGGCTTCATACCGTTGTGTGTGTGTGTGTGTCTCAGCTTTGCGGGTGTGCACGAGTGCGGGCGGGTGCGGGTTTGTGCTTATGTGTGTTTGTGTGTATGTGTGTACACGTGTCTGTCTCTGTGTTTGTCTGTGCTTTGTGGGTCTCTGTATGTGTGTGTGTGTGTGCATCTAGTGTGTTTCAGACCGAGGGAATGTGACCCAACTTCGTGGTATGGAAAAACGAGGAGTTGGCTGATGTATTTGCGCCTAGACATGGATTCCTCTGTGAAATGCTTTTAGAGGCTACCAAAACTGAACGGACAACGTAGATGTGTGCCACAGCTCCCCCCCAAATGTTCGTTCTGCTTTTACCGCTGTGAACCTAAAACCAAACAACATATTCATTTGACTAGGAATTTCCTTGGAAACAATCACCTGCTTTGGGGTTCGCACATCTGGTCAAAGAGGCAGAGAACGAAGAAGAAAGAAGAAAGAGTAAGAGAAAGAGAAAGAAAAAGAAAGAGAAAGGGAAACAAAGAAAGCAAGACAGATAAAGAAAGAGAGAGGAGAGAGAGAGAGAGAGAGCGAAAAAAAAACAATGAGAGAGGATACCATGAAAACCCCAATGTTGCCATCTACACCCTGATCCGTGTTCCTCTTCAAGGGTCGGAATGTCCCGTGATGGGTCCAACCTCATTCCGAGAAGGCTGGGCCATTGCTAACATGTTGCGCCTATCATCTTGAGTGAATTCGATGCTGACATACCCTACGATCCTTTTTGATGACTCAGGCCCTCGCAGGGACCACATCACTGAGTTGGCATGACCCCAAACTGAACCGTCCCTTGTGGTTTTCTCTAAGGGAATGCCCAGGTTTATTTGGGGTTTGGTGTTTCGGGTTGGCTCAGTGGCTTAGAGTTTGTCTGGTGGTTTCGGGCTAGGGTTGGTTCATGGCGTTCGTTTCGGGCTGGCTACGGGTTGGCATTAAATAAAAATCACTCGAGCGATTCCCTGATAGCCAAAAAATCGCTCAGAGTTGCCTGCAGAAGGCCAAGGCCAGACGGGAGAGAAATGAGATTCCCTGTACGGGCCAACGGTTACAATTCGCAAACGGGGGGGGGCACTCAACAAAAACAAACTAAAATCCTGCTAAAATGTGTGCAACTAGCAAGCGCCTGACTCGCTTCCTGAGTGGATTGGCAACCAAAGCTCGCAAACTAGCTGTTTACCTGTAGCAACTAAACTGGTCGTCCCCCAAAAAGTGCCTCAAGTCCACTGACTGGCCGAAACTGGATCCCCAAACTCCTTTTTAAGTGCCTCAAATGTCCAGAAAAGCTCGCCCTAAAAAAGCCTCCCGCGCAAAAAAGAAGAAGAAGAAGGACGTAGCTCCGGCCGTGGCTTCCTTCCGCTCTCGGCCGAAAGTCGCCTCGAAGGCCACCTCCCGGTGCAAGACCGTGGGCACCTAGCGACGAAGCGACTCGCACCGGCCGAGCCGATGGCCGCAGATCGCACCGGGGAGTCTCCAGGAGCCTTGAAGAATAGGTCCATGACCCCCACGAGTTTTAGGGGTAACGACCCCATGTTTCAAGGGAAAAAGGGAGACTCTAGGTAGTAACAATCAGCGAATGACATCAGGGGCGCTCGGGTGCGAAACAAAAAAAAGAAGAGCTAAACCCCTGGACAATCCCAGAAGAAGATTCCTCAAGAAAATGGGCATTGAGGCTCCCTTGCAAGCTTAAGCATTGAAGGGCTCGGGCAAGGAAAAAACACCGCACCTCAAGCGCAATCCGAGAAAGTGGAACCAGCTCAAAAACGACAACATTGGGCGCAGCTAGTAGTTTCGCGCAAGAGAAGGAGTCAACCCAGCATTATTATTTCACATGAGGTAAATTGGCTAAATCGTATTACCCCACCCCATTCCGATTTCCCCCAGCATCACTCACCCGGCCAAAAGGTGATGTTTGAAACCATGACACGGGATCGACACATCCTGTGGATGGACGAAATCCATTTCGCACCACCTAAATAACCATGGGAAACCGTTGCTTTTTGCTACTTACAGAATTAATATCACTTCAGGGGTTCTTAGGTGTGAAATGGAATTCGTCCATCCACAGTAGGGACCACTGTGGTCTTCCTCGGGGCCACCCCCATCCCCAACATCGCGGGCTTCCCACGGAGAGCCTCCTGGATCACCTCTTGGCCTTCTAAGATCGGCAACTGCACCTGGCGAATGTGGGACTTGAGTCACAAAACCAAAACCTGGGAGTACTCCCCTTCAGATTCAGTACTGCAAACCAAAACAAAACATCGCCAGGTCCCGTGTGATTCTCTGTGTGTGTGTGTGTGCGTGTTTGTTATTTGCTTGATTGTTGGTTTGAGCATGCTTGCTTGCTTGCTTGCTTGCCTGCCTGCCTGCCTGCCTGCTTGCTTGCTCGTTTGTGTGTCTCTGTTGGGGGCCCAGTTTGACACGTACCCGTTTGGGGCCAAAGGGGTACCATGTCGTAAAACAAGAACTCACATCCTGAGTGGATTGGCTACTCAAATAAACAAACAAAAACACAAACTCGTTTAGCCACTCAATTTGTCAGCCAACTTCGCCAGATTCTGATTGTCAGCACTGTTACCAGAACATATATTATAGATAGAATGCTTGAATCTGGTTAAATTACTCTAATCCCCTTGATTCATGATCATCGGGGGTCAGGATTGGCAGGCAACCATCAGAAACCAAAATACACTAAAACTATCTGCCCAGCAGCCCCTGAGACTTGCGGCTCACATCTACGCCGGATTGGGCAACAGGGAAGCCCTGCCTGTCTCCCAATCTCAAGCGTCTGGACTCGTGGAGCTGGGAGCTCTATGACCACACCTTTCGCCTGGTTCGCGTCTACTGCACCAAACCTCCGGGCCCCAATGACGAATCCAGCTGCCTTTCGCAAGGGTTTCCATACCCTGAGGGCAGAAGGCTGGTCCCGGAAAAGAAACACCACCAGGCCCCCTCTGCCAATGTTCTGCTCTGGTTTGGACGTTGGGAAAAAGCTCGGCAAACTTGATGCCTTTGGTCTTGTGGCCAGGAAACAATCCCTGATTGCCCAAAGTATCCATGTCAAAGGCGCCATGGACACCCCCCAGTCTTCACAACCACCCTAAAGGTCCGAATTGTTTAGGCAACCTTCGGTTGCAAACTTTTCCTCCCATGTCCCTCATACCCCTCCCCCCCCCCCCCGCCCCAATCACCCCCCCCAAACACCCAAACACCCAAACACCCCCCCCCCCCCAAAACACCCAAACACCCCCCCCCCCTCAAGCACCCCCCCAAAAAAAAGGACTGGGCTTGCCTCCTTGACCACTTCCTGGTACTCCAGGGCGGGCACATGGCGTGTGATCTCTACCACTTGCGTCTGCGGCACCTGGCGCGCCGCTGGCCATCGGTTTGACCATGGGCCTTGTGGGCTTTTGGGGCAGAAAAGGGCTCGGGGTGTTCTGTTTTCGGGGAAAGTCACACATATTTTGAAACCAAGGCCTAAGTCGCGGATTCTGTTCTATCGAATTCACGCCTGGGAGGTTCTGCTCCGGAACCGCTTCCTTCTTCCATCTACACCAGTGACATACAGGGGCCCTTTGAAATGGGAAGGAAGGTGCCGCTTGCACATTGCCTTGGCCCACTTACGAAAAGGCAATTTGGCAATGTGTCAAACGGCACCTCCGTTCCCGTTTCAAAGGGCTAGCATTGCTACTCAGATGCAAGGCTCCCATATGTTCCCAGGCAAACTGCGAGCCTGCTCAGCTTGGCCATAGATCCCTCCGAATCGTTAAGCCACATGAGTTGGGGCAAAATACCACACAGTGTTGATATGATCTTAAGAAGTGTGGGCACCACATCAACGTGTATACCATGCCGCCATTCCGAGGAACGCTGGCTGGATTTGTCAGAACCATGAAGGTGATCTGTGCTCTGAGCACCAAACCCATACCAAACGCAATGAAGCAATACACCGAGCGTGACAATTCAATCAAGTTCTACTGGCAACCAATCTGGTTCCAAGTTCTAGCCAGTTCCCTTGTGGATTGGAGTTGAAATTCCTCTATTCTGAGCAGCTCAGTCCAGTCAGTGCTTCTGGACCTTGTCCAAAATAGGCTTCGGCCGGCTCAAAAAAGAGGAGACCCGGTCATGTCCAATGTGCTGCTGCTTTGGCAACTTGAGTTGTCCCCCCCGAATCTCTGGCAAGCTCAGTCTGGATCATTCCATCTTGGAGATATCACAAGATATCGCAATGCCCAAACTTCAGGTCCAGGTAGGAGCATGTGACACAGCTTGTCCGTCGAATCGGAATGGCAACCACAGCCCCGAAGACAGACCCACGGCATAGAAAATGAGACTGTCAAACTGCCTCTATTCTGATCCAGTACCCTCAATTGAGCCCATTGGTTTGGATTGGCGATTTGGATTGACACCACAGCCCAGAAGCCCCCCTTTTTTCTGAGTAACTAAACCCCTATGGGGCCCTATGATCGTTTGCTCAGCAAGCCAGGGGGGCCTCAGGATGCCAAACGGGCATCCTCACAAAAGGAGCATCCGCATCAATAAACCGAATGAAGGCCGCAACTCTCTGGCATCACTCACGCGTGAGCACACAATCCTGCTATAGGAATCTGATTTTTGGGTTGCATCTGCCTTCAACCAAAACCCAAGATACTAAATGCATGGGACCCCAAGGATGGTTTCGCGGTGTCGCCTCAATGACCTTTTCCTGAGTGATGCGCGTGAGCACCTCTTGAACCTGACGATCGATCCCCCTTCGGGGATAGCGCAAACATAGGTCTATCCTCCATTGAGTTTTGCAACAAACAGGGCTGGGGGTCGCAAAGCAGGGATTGGCCTACCCGACCCAACACAGGGAAACAGTTTTTACGGCTCGTCGATCTCAACGGCGTAGCCAAGAAACAGATTCAATTGCAGAACCTAGGGTAGTTTTGCTTTGGCGAGTAAATTATCAAAGGTGCGTCCTTGCGAACATGTGAAGAATCACGGGTAACCTGTGGCCAATTTCCCTCCCAAAATCATTCACATTGAGTGAGTGATGCTGGAAGACCTCGCGCAACAGGGGCCATTCCGGACTGGTCGGCCATCCAAACAGCGGCAAGGAGAAACCCACCAGGCGCTAGCCACATGGCTATCCAGCATCTAGCGGGTGGACAGGGTCTCCTTCCAGGCAGGTGATAGAGGGCTTCTGGAGAGTCCCATGGCCCAATTGGCGCAAGGTCTTGCTAATGTCATATCCTCGGCTTGTTATGTCGCTCCGTGTATGTTCCTTTTACACATCCTTACACATCACTCCACCAGAAGGAAACTCAGCACACATTTGCTCCAGAACCCCCCCCCCCGGCAACAACTGTTGTTTTCTCTTGTCCAACATCCCAGGTGCTGTCCAACAAGCAGTGAATGCCGGGTGCTGGCCCAAAACTGATGATTTAAAATCAACCGGTAGAAACACCGACTTTGCCAAAGCCACGCCAAGCAGCAACCGTGACATTTCACGACCCCTCAGCCCAAGCGAGACCAGCAGCTCAAACAAGGGCTTGGACTCGTAGAAACAAGCTTCAGAGGAGTGTCCAACTCGTGGCACCCAGCCAAGGGACCTTCATAGGTGAGCTACTGGCGACTGACTAGACCGCCATATCTCAATCGGATCCAAAGTGTCCCCGATTTCTCACGCGAACCTTGGCAGGGGAGTTCATCCCAACTTGTTCAGCTGGAAAAATGAACCCCCTTTGTGTGCTTGAAATCTAGGGATCTCGCTCCCCCGCTTCCCTCGGAAAACATGCTATGTACATATATATATATATGAAACACAGGAAAAACACAGCTCAAGCTCACCAAAACAAGGGGGACCATACACGTATATATATATATATACATATATACACATAATATATATATATATATATATACATAATATATATGTATATATTGACAATTTTGCAGGTATGCCTGGAAGAAGCTCCGTGGACTCGAGGCGGAGATCACCCGGCTGTTCGATCATTGGTCTGCGATTGGTAGATGATATTCTGGACAGCTTCCATCATCCGCAACACACAGCAGGGTAGTCAATGCAGAACCGTCTTTGGGAAAACAAAACAAAAAGAGCCAACACCAACACCAACTAATGCATCAAAACTGTGCGGGGCCAATACAATAAGCAATATGGATGATAATGCGTGCGTCTCAATTCAAACTAGGAGACCCCGAACAATGGTGGTGTCCGTTTCATCTTCCGTTAAAAACAGAAACAACAAACAAAAAGGGTATGCTCAAAGAAGACACAGCCCATGTTCGAACAGTAGACATTTCGAACACGGATGCTTACTGTCTCCTGTTTGGGTCCCTACAAGTTCGTTTTCCGTAACTCTCATTCGATTGCTTGAGGGCCCTGTCTGAATTACATGACCTCAACACAACTGAAGAAACAAACGTTTGTTAGATCCACGCCGATAGTGCAACTCTAAAATGTACAGTGATGCCAAAAGGCCAGCCAAACTGTAACAGCAATAGCAGCATAAGGAAGTGTCTTAAAACAGGGCAATCTCCAAGAATGGGTGATTGTCCTTTAGCTCCCCTGAACCCCCCCAAAAAAAAAGAAGAAGAATGTATCCACAAAAAACAAAAAAAACAAAAAAAACAAAAACAATTGGTCTAGGTATACCACTGCCGCGCTTCTCGGGGGACTCCAAGGCCGAAGACCCCCTGGCGCCTGCTCGGAGACTTGGTACTGAGGTACCTGCCGGGCTGGCGGAAACGGAAGGGACACTCGGCAGCAACACTCGGCCGCCTTTGTGATAGACAAGTTTTCTGATTAAACAAAAAAACACGAAGGGCTTTCCTACGTTTGTTATATGTAATATATGGATACATGTATAGTATATACATATATATATATATATATTATACATAAACACATGCGTTTCTTTGACACTGATTTCAACCGCAGTGCTTATTTGTCTTGTTAAAACCCGATTGCATAAACCTGCTCACTGGGCTTTATGGAGGAATCACAAAGGAATCTGATGGTTGGTGCAGCCATTCTTGTCGGCCCCCAAATTCAGGTGGCCTCCACATGCCGCTCCACCGTCTTGATCTCTGGCTTTTGCTTCACCTGAGACCGTTGCATGGGCAGAACGTCTTTTTTGTTCTTCTTCTTCTTTTTTTTTGAGGGGATTCGTCTGAAGGTTACAGAGGAAACCAAAAGGAAACCAACCCTCTGGGGGTGGGGGTCCTTCATTTTGAGAAACACCCAAGGTGACCCGAATGAGCCAGGTATGTCCAGGTATCCCCAGCAACGCTTGGCTACTCCGAACCACTCAGCGGGCTCATTGGCTGAGATCCCCGTGCATAACACTGCCACGATCAGCCAAACGCACCTCACCCAGGCGGCGCTTAGGTCCTCCACAGGGCGGCGTAACCCTTCGGACCCTTGGCTATGGCTCTGCCCACAAGTGGGTTGAACCAAGGGGCGTTCCTCCACAAACTGTCATGGAGCGGAGTGGCATGGTCTTTTCCCCTTTCATGGCTGCTCCTGCCTCCCAAACGTTTGTTTGATCATGTCCAAGAAGAGGTGTGTGTGTGTGTGTCGGCGGGTTCGCCGAAGCGGGGTACCTAATTGAAACTTGCGCTTACCCCTTCGCACATGAACATGAAAGCCCGAAACAGGGTTCCCCAAGAGGCGGCTTCTCAAACAAAGAAAACAGTTAAGGGGTTCTATGTCAATCTGCAGGGGGTATGAAGAGTTTCAGGCCCAACTATTATCCGCCAGAAGCCGGGCAGTTTGGAGACGAAAATGGTAAGCTACTCGTATTTGTGGTCCTACCTGGCCCATGATCATTCGCGGTCAGGCTTCCTGGCTCTAAACATGGAAAAATCTTAGCGGCCGCCGTTTTAGGACGACGATTCAAGACGACAAATGGATCGTAGACAATTCAATGGTAAAAAGGGTGGTCAAATCGAATTGATTCAGGCTGAGAAGGGAAAGGGGCAAGATAAACATACATATTAGTTTCACTGAGTCTGGCCATGTGTGTTGAGGCAGGCGTTGCTTTGCCCGAATACATCATTCGATATAACTGGCCACCAACCATGTATCAGTTGTGTACAATATCTCCAACACCAGAAATTAAGAGTATACACCCTGGCCAAACGCGACTTACACACATGGCCACATGGCCCCGAAGGAGCTTTTGTGAGTATCTCTCATGTTCAAAATCCCTCATAGACTGGCCATTTCGACCAAAACTCAGAGTCACCCACCACCATGGCGCCCCAGCAATGGTATGGTGCTCGACCACTTCCCGCGGAAGGTCCTGAGGTGAGTTGGGGTGCTTCGGGGGTTTCCTGATTTTTCAGGGGAAGATATGGGAAGATGTGGTATAGAGAGGTTTTTTCGTATATATCCGTGGCTACGGGGGTGGGTTGGGGTCGGTGGAGACCTTCTGTCATCTGTGCGCTTGCCCGCATCTACTCGGATTGGTGCCATCTACTTTCAATTACGAATGTTTCTCCAGCCCCTAGTTGCGGAGACACTGAGTGGCCCCCATGCCCCTCTCAAATCTGCAGTGGACCACAGTATTCAACATGCAGCATAAATCACATGACCCTCAGGTCTTGCAAACTGTTTGGCGCATAGGCCGCATAGGCTCCCTTTTAGCGTCAAGGATCACAGCCTGAAACAGCCATTTCGCGTGTGGAGTTGTAGTTTCTATGAGCGCTGGATGCATCTTGTAGCAGCTTCTGCCGAAATCGGACACTTCAACCAACATGCATTTGCTTCTTACCAACTTGGACATTCTTCTCCGACATTGAAGGTTATGGCTGCATAAACGGGGCTGGCATCCAGCAGACACATAGACTGCCTAAACGGGGCTGACAAAAGCCAGACACAGACTGCGTAAAAGGGGCTGACGTGCAGCAACCACATCGACATATTTAGATGGGGTTGAACAAATCACAATCCCTTCTCCCCGCAAAGAACAACGGTCATTGCATCGCCACCCGCCGGTAGGAAACGTTCTTACCTTATTGAAGGGGAATCCAAGAGTATTCACCCAACCTTTGGGGGCGGTGGGGATACTGGTTCTGACCCGAACTAACGCAGCAGATCTTACGGTCATCGGAGGTACGGCATTTGCCTGCGCAGTCACGGTCAGAATTTGCCATGTGCTTATCATCCTCTTTACTTGAGGACATACAGGAAATAGTGCCATCTACTTTCACTCTGGTATAATTTGAGTGAACACGGATATTTCTGCTTGGGGTTGATATTTGTCAGTGGGGATCGGAACCCAGCAAACAGAATGGGATTCGGGTGCCACCAAACAACTGGGTATTTGTGCCCAGTTTTGGACGGTCCTTCATGACCTCCTGCACACTCACCTGAGTGCCAGAGGCATGCGTTTGCTCGTAGCGATTGATGTCTGGCACGGAACGAAAAGGAAGCCAGAACTGATTAATAGGGGGCTGTCCCATTTTAGAGGGCTCGTTCTTTTTTGGGGACCACCCCCAAATAATCACCAGGTGAACCAACGCCGGGTCACCATTGCGGCAGATCCTCTCAAAGAGAAAAACAAGGTCGCCCTGCTTCCTTTTGACACCACGTTCCTGGGTAAACCTGCAATAAGTCACCCCACCTTGAAGAAGACATGGACCCCCCCCAAAGGGAGGACTCGGTGAGGTCAGTCCCCTGAGCTCGCCGAACATTGGCCAGTGTAGGAAACGCACGGGCTCACCCAAAAGGAGGCCAATAGACTAAAGTGAGTCGGTCGGAAAAGTAACCGCACCTTTTGTTTGCACTAACATAACCGTTTCAAACACTTCAACATCCAGGAACTTGGGAAGAAAGGCGTAATCCCCCCACAAAACAAAAACGGGTGCCATTTGACTGCGCAATGCACATGTACCCGTCCGGAAGGCATGGCTCTGCTCCAAGATGGTGACTTTGCCACTCCCTTCTGATCAAGTAGATTGGCCAAAACAAGGATTTTGGAGAACCACTCAAATGGTCTTCCCAAAAAGTCTAAAATCTCCAAACCAGAAATGGGTGTGGAGATTTGCCTGTTGGTCCTGTTCGTTCAAGACCGTGATTTGGTCTTGATGCCTCATCAGCAATTCGCTTCCGATCGAATAGATTGGCCAAGACGAGTCTGAACTGTTTATGTTCCACTCAAGTCTCTTACATGATCTTCCCGAAAAGTGACTAGAGTTCGGAAACAGGCAACTGAGATCTGCAACATGTGGGGGTTTGTCAAACTTAGGGCCCCTTTCTGGTATCCCCTTTTCAAGGATATTCAACTACTCGCAAGCCTAAATCAAGGACCACGATGAGCGCATCTTCATGGGACTCGGAGGCGCAAGCACAGGCTCGCTATAAATTGCTCAGGGTGGTTGGTTTCGATGTCCCAAGCCTGTGGGGAAAGAGAGGGGCACCACAGGGCTGGTCGCTTCCAACGAGGCATTTTTCCCCAGAGAACGGGCATTCCATTAAAAAAATGAGGAACAGTGCTCGCCAACAACTGCTTTTGCCCACGTCCCAAATCCATACAAATCCCAACTACTGTCCTAAACGCATTGGTTCGGGGGTGCGGGATACGATCGCTATCATTTGGCTGTGGGTCAAAAATAGGTACCCGAAATGGAACCTGGTAAGTGGTAACATGGACCACAACCAGCGGTATCCTGGTGGTTTAATTTTGACCCATACCAATTTGATTCGTCTTCACTGATTCAATTCTGACTAAGGTAAGTCTCGCACGAGGCTGCCATAAGGCACCTGGCCACTTGCGGAGATCAGAGACATTGGTGGGCCAAGGTGTTTTGGGAGGGCTACTTGTAGGGGCAAAACCCGAGGGGGGGGGTGGAAAAACAAGACTATCCAGACTATCTCATGTTGATGCATCTGGGGGAAGTGATGTGAACTTCGGATGAATTGGCAAACATCTACCAATCAGAGGCACCCCCATAATTGGGGAACACCCCTTAGTGCGGTCCTCCGAATCATAAATCATCCTATCAAAATAGGGGGGCCCAAAAAAAACGCGGTGGTCCTTTTGGTGTCCCTTTATACTAAGGTGAAACGGATTTTATAGCCTCAAAAAGCACCACACGCCAAAAGGCATCCTTGAGCATCGCAAATCTGAAGGCACTTCATCGGTTGGCCACAGAAAGTCCATGAATCATTTGAGAAAGGGCCACCCTGCGTTTCTTGGAAAACCAAAAGGAAGCAATGCGGGTGTTGTTGTGGCTGAGAATCCCTTTGTCCCCACCAACCGTTGAAACTCCCCTCTGTTTGTCCCAAGAAAGACCAAACACTGCGGGCAGTCAACCAAGAACCAGGGTTGGCATCTTGGCATCGCGGCTGCAACAAAGAGCAAAACAAACTCGCCACATCCGCGACACTTCCCAAATCGCCGCTGTTTTGAACCCAGCCTGCGCCTGCGCATTGCCGCGGTACCTGCGGATCAACATGTAGCGCCGTGGACATGGTTCCGGAATACATCCATTTGCGAATACGTCCACTGGAAAAAGGAACATCCCATGATCGACTCCTGTTAAAAGCCGACAGGGAAACATGAAATATAGTCTTCAGCAATTGGAAGCTTAGGAATCCTCTAGCTAAAATCGCGAGCAAGGGGCTCATGACCATACTTGCCAACCCATTTAACGGGGCTTTTGAGCAAAGGCCATTTCCTATTGGGGGGGGAGCAGTTCAGCGGGGAACCCACTCAACACAAGTGGAGAAAAGGTGACACTGGACAAAAGCTCTTTAGGTTGCCATGACCTACCCTTCCTGCCACAAGCATAGAATCTGCGGAAGGTCACTTCCCGAGTGGGTTGGCCCAAACAACTGGCCCTCCCGACAAACATGTCCAGAAACTGGGAAGCGATCTGAACGGTGATATCTGCACTGGGGAACACCCTAGGACTTCTCTGCATTCAGGGCTCCCATTCAGCCTCGAGCAACCATGTCTGTTTAAAACTGTTTGCACTTTTTGGCGTCGACTCCCAAAAATGATCAAGTAATTGTGGCACTTGAGGGTGGTGCCATTTAACTACCTGGTTGGGTCACACTCACGGTTGGACAAAACTGTTTAATATGTTTTTTAACAAGCTCCGCTCTGTGTTCTCTTGAAAGGGACCAAGAACTGATTGCTTCAACACATGTTCCTCAACCCCAGTTTCAACCCCCAATAGTTCCACCTCCGACGCCGTCACAAGGCATGCCGGGCGCACGCGACGGGCTCCGTAAACTGCTCCATGGCTCGGAAACTTTGTCCGCTGAACAATGTACGCTTAACAAAAAGGCGAGTGCATTCATGATCCCAGCGCAAGTGCATTTGTTTGGCGTTTGTGGTTCCGTGCGAGGAAGGCAAGGGGATGGTTGGCAATCAGTAAGTTTCTCTTCTTGGTTTACATGGAGAGCCCAGCTGTCCAGTTTAGTTTCTTGTGTAGGCTGTTGAAATGCGACTGTCCGACGGTCTAAAGCCGGCATGTTCCATGGCAAGCCGGGCGTCTCTATCCGATATATTACTGCTTTGAGCAAACGGTCGGATCGAAGAATCCAAACTGACAAAAACGATCGGGCCTGCTCTACCCAGCTTTGCCCTGAGCCAAACACAGTTTTGACTCTGGTCTATCTTTAATGAACCTTTAAAACACATGTGTTTGTTCAAAATATATCTGTACTGGTTCACAACACATGGCTTCGAACGCCCACAACTAAACAGCGACAAACACACAAACGATAAACATGTTTAAGTTTGGACATGTCAGCGAAAGATCCATGCTACATGTGAGGAGCAAGTAAACCCGCTCAAACACGAAACCTCCCCAAAAGCGGGCCGAAAAGGAACTTCATCGACAATCTTGGGGGTTGCCCATTTGGGACATCCCCCTTGCGATGCCAGCATGGGCCATCCTGACAACTGTACTTGCATGAGGAGGCTTCCCTTGGTATCGCAAAAAAAGGGAAGCCCACCCAGAAATCGACCACCATGCTTTGGGGATTCCATGTGGGAATAAGAAATGGCGTCGAACGGCCTATCCTCTGGCTTCCATACGAACGGCCCCCGTAAGGCCAGTGGGGGTGGTGTGCGCTTGGTCTACTCAAAGACTTCCCCCACTGACCCCCAGACCAAACCCCAAAGACAAAATATGACAGTCAAGCCTCTCTTAGAGCTCATCTACCCCGAATGTACTCTAACTATTGGCTTATCCTCAAGGGGTATGTTCCAGGAGTCTGGTGGTACAACCTTTGAACTACCGAAACTATACAGGGAAAAAACAAATCCATGTCTAACAAAGCTTAAGGGGATCCCCAAGAATCCTTGGTTGTTTGCTGTTGTACAATTTTCTGCACACGCCCAGTTTGGCTGAACTGCTGGCTGAACCACGTCTTGCCAAGATCATGGTTGTTGGCCGAATCGGGTGCGATGAATCGAGCGCAGACTCGGGCCGAATCGAGTTCGATGCGAGGTCTGAATCGAGGACAACGCAAGGCCAAATCGTGGACGGCAAAGCATCGAATCGCGTCGGCGCGAGCTCAGGCCGGCCAGGCTGTTAACCTTGCCGCGGCGCTGGATCCAACTGCTCGGCGGAGTTTTTCTTCTTCGCGCAAGAGCTTGCAGAGACGAACATGGTTCGCAGAGGCGCAGCCAAAAAAAATGGCCACAAGCGCGGTTGTGGCTGGCCCGCGGCCACGAAAGCTCTTCCCTGCGATCTGTGTGTCTGGCTGCCGAAATAGCTTGCAGCGGCCCGGGGCTGGCCGAAGCACGCAGGTGGCCCGCGGGCCACGAAGCTTTGCCCTGCGCTGTCTTTCTCTTCCGACACGGCTTGCAGGGGCGAGCTTCGTGCAAAAAACTGTCCGTTAGTGCTTGTGCGACAGCTTTGCCCTGCTGTCTTGCGAAGCTGCTTGTATAGGGGCGAGCTTAGCTGAGGCGGCCCGGGGCTGTGCGAAGCACGCAGGTGGCCCGCGGGCCACGAAGCTTTGCCCTGCGCTGTCTTTCTCTTCCGACACGGCTTGCAGGGGCGAGCTTCGTGCAAAAAACTGTCCGTTAGTGCTTGTGCGACAGCTTTGCCCTGCTGTCTTGCGAAGCTGCTTGTATAGGGGCGAGCTTAGCTGAGGCGGCCCGAAGCACGCTGGTGGCCCGCGGGCCACGAAGCTTTGCCCTGCGCTGTCTTTCTCTTGCGACACGGCTTGCAGGGGCGAGCTTCGTGCAAAAAACTGTCCGTTAGTGCTTGTGCGACAGCTTTGCCCTGCTGTCTTGCGAAGCTGCTTGTATAGGGGCGAGCTTACGAAGCACGCAGGTGGCCCGCGGGCCGCGAAGCTTTGCCCTGCGCTGTCTTTCTCTTCCGACACACCACGGGCCACGCAGCTTGTGCGAGCTGAGGCTCAATTGTTAACTGCTCATGTAGGCTGCTTGTATAGGGGCGAGCTTAGCTGAGGCGGCCCGGGGCTGTGCGAAGCACGCAGGTGGCCCGCGGGCCACGAAGCTTTGCCCTGCGCTGTCTTTCTCTTGCGACACGGCTTGCAGGGGCGAGCTTCGTGCAAAAAACTGTCCGTTAGTGCTTGACTTGTGCGACAGCTTTGCCCTGCTGTCTTGCGAAGCTGCTTGTGTAGGGGCGAACTGAGCTGAGGCGGCCCGGGGCTGGCCGAAGCACGCAGGTGGCCCGCGGGCCACGAAGCTTCGCCCTGCGCTGTCTTTCTCTTCCGACACGGCTTGCAGGGGCGAGCTTCGTGCAAAAAACTGTCCGTTAGTGCTTGTGCGAC